AACTTATTTTGTATAAAAAATGGATGAAATGACAACTGAATATGAAAGTATGCATCTACATCTAGATTTCTTTAACTAAAGGATCATGCATAAACATTTCTTTTCCTATACAAGTTCATATGGCAGTTGTGGGCTTTTCATATGACTTTTCATATTGAAGTTCATATAGCATTTGTGGGCATTTGTTGGGATTCATGCCTATATGCTCAGGATTGTGAGCCTGGTTGTGGTTGTGTTCAGGTTGTGACTTGTGGTCGTTTTGTGGAGTCTGGTTGTGTTCAGGTTTTGTCCTGTTTTGTTTTGTTGATGCTATTTTGTTCAAGTTCTATTTGTGTATTTTTTTATTTGTGGAGCTTGGTTGTGTTATGGAGCCTGGTTGTGTTGTTCTTTTGTTCTCAGCCAGTTTTGTTAGCATATATTGTTGATGCTATTCTGAGCCTGGTTGTGTTGTGGAGTCCCTTACATCGTTAGTATTTTGATATTAGTCTCGAAATCATCATCTCTTGCATTAGACCAAATTGCATTTATATGCTGATATTAGTCATTTCTCTTGTTTAATAGGAGAAGTTCAGAAACAGGATCTCATGTTTTAATGTCCTGCAATGATCAGATAGGCCTCTTTATTCATCAGTTTCTTTTCTTCGTTCAGCTGCTCTATCAGTGGACATATCTCTAATGTACTCATAAGTTATAACTATGGTGATACTATCAGGTCATAGTCTGTCACAAAATTTCACGAGAATGAGTTTCATGTCTTCTTTGTTTTACTATATGATATTTTTAGAGATTCCACTATGAGAGAGCGCATTGTATGCCAATTTTTGGCTTTTTTGCATGAAAAATGCAGCTATCTTAATAAAGTTGGATTTTGTAACTCAAACAAAATAGCCAAGTAAAATGGCATGATACAAAGTACTTCAACAAAATAAGCCTCCTTTTGGACAGATCTTTGTCTATGATAAATATGCACTAGCTTTCTAATCTATATCTCTTGTGTTAATTGATTAGCTTCCTTCCGTTGTTGCAGACAAATGCTCCAGTGACTGAGACTCGCAAGAAGATTTGGCTTGTAGATTCTAAGGTAAAAAGAAGAGCATTAAGATTGCTTCCTGAAATCCATTCATGTTTTTAATGTCATATCTATTGGAATTTCTCTATCATTTTTTAATGCATGGCTTAATTGTGAACACACGCAAGGAGTCACTACAACACTTCAAGAAACACTGGGCACATGATCATGAACCCGTCAAAACTCTCTTAGATGCTGTTAAGGTGCATATCCTGTATCATCTATAATAATTGAATGACAATACATAGCTCCTTATGGTAGTCTCTGAAACTTGTGTCCATATGCTATCAAGCCGACTGTTTTGATAGGAACATCTGGAGTGGGGGGAACTTTCACAAAGGAGGTGGTTGAGGCAATGACCTCTTTCAATGAGGTAGCGGAATGGTTTTCTAATTCTACAAGTTGGGGATTTTTTGGTTGGTTGTGAGCATGGTTGTGTTCAGGTTGTGACATGTGGTTGGCTTGTGGAGCATGTTTGTGTTCAGTTTTGTTCTGTTTTGTTGATGCTATTTTGTTCAAGTTCTATTTGTGCATGATTTTTTGCACATATATTTCATCAACATGCATAAATTATCAGATTTGATACGATTTGCTATGTTATATACATATTTATGGCTATTTAGGTTGTCTATATGTTTTTATAGGTTTCAGCAGATTTTTTGGGTAATTCAGGCATTTACTACATAAATTTATGAATAATTAGGTTATTACACGATTCGTGTGATTTTTTCAATCTCAAACAGGAACATTCGAACTTTTATATGATTAAGATTACCTCATATTACGAGCAAAAAAAAATTTGTATATAGTGGGAGTAATCTTATCATGGTGACCATAAACACTTTTCCCTACAAACTTCACCCTACAAACTTCAAAACCAACCAAACTCAAGAAAAGTGGGAAATGTCATATCAACAAATTTTTTTTCTTTTTTTTACATGCGAACCAAACACAAGTAAAGTAAATACATTGGTTTCACATTATTTTTTATGTATGAACCAAAATGAAACAATCTGTTTCTTAGAAAAGTTTAGAAAACTAAAAACGTGTATTTTTTTATATGGAATTGCATTTCTCAATATCGAGGATACCAAGGAAACAACCTAAAAGCCTTTCCTGTTCTTTTCTGTGGCCCGACCCAGCTCGCTGTCTCTTCTAATTGCCCCTCACTCGCAAACCCGAAGTCCCGTCGAGATCTACCAACCTCCAACCCACCATGCAATTCTTCAGCGGATCGGTGGACTCGACCCCATCGCCGGCGGCGCCGCCGGGAACGGCGTCCGGCCTCTCCGGCAACAACGCCAACATGCTCTACATCTTCAACCGCAACGGCGTCTGCCTCCTCTACCACGAGTGGCACCGCCCTCTTCGAACCCTAGACGCTCAGCAGGATCAGAAGCTCATGTTCGGCCTCCTCTTCTCTCTTCGATCCTTCACCGCGAAAATGGACCCTACAAGGTTAGGATTCTAGGGTTTTGATCTCGATTCTTTTTTGGTTTGTTTTGGGGATTAATTTTGGTTTTCGATGTAGTTTGGATAAAGGGAATCTTGGAGTGCCGCTGTTGCCAGGGCAAGGGTGTTCCTTTCACAGTTTTCGGACGAACACGTATAAGCTGAGCTTCATGGAGAGTCCCTCTGGGATCAAAGTTAGTGAATTTCTTATGATTTTTATAGTTTATTGAGCTTAGTAGTTTTGATATATTTCTAAAAACGTTTCCTGAAATTGTTAACGCCCAACAGACATTGTGAATATGAGTGTGCATGAGAAAAAATTGGTAGATGGAGGAATGTAGTAGATAAATCTTTGTGAAAAGCTGGTGAAAGAAATTTGTTTATGTGAAAAATGTTGGTTTAGAATTCATGGGAGGAAATGGTTTTGAAGGAAAATGATAAGAGAATGGGATCAAGATTGCCAACTTTAGCCTTACAGGTCGTTTAGGCTGGGAAAATTGTTTAATACGTAGCATTGTTATTTCGTCGATAATTACCTCAATTTCCTACTTGAACTAATGTGGGATTAGAGTCTTCTGAGAAGAGACCAAATGTGCAACTTGTGGGTAGACTGATGGAAAGATCATATCGTAGACATGATCAAGTTATAGTAGGTTGCTTTTGAAAGATTCAGGTTTTATAGTTTGGATCCATTAAACTGCAGTACAGTACTAAATATTTATGTATATGGGAAATTCTCTATAAAGAACATAACTTGATTTGACTTAGTTCTTTATCGGGGATTATTTCGAGGAGCAGCATGTTCAGAGAGTAGTTTCGATGATGCCATGATGCTATGCACTTACTCTACTAAATTTCTTCGTTAATGACGTATCTTTTCCCTGTCCAATCACATCTCATTGCTGTCCTTGTATCAAAAGGGAGTTTCACTTAGATTACATTGGATGCTTGCATGTGCATGCAGTCACAGTTGAAGATGACCGCTACCTTCTTTAGCCTCGTACACTAATTTGTGCTTAATTTTTTTTTCAATGCAGATAATCCTTGTTACCCATCCGAAGATCAGTGACCTTCGGGACTCCTTGAGGCACATATACAACATTTATGTGGAGTATGTTGTCAAGAATCCCCTCTATATTCCCGGGAGTCCAATCAAGTATGTCCGTAAGCACTGATAAATTGTATCTACTCTTCAATATTCCATAGGAAAAAAAAACAATGTCATGGCCTTTTGCCTTGATGCTTTCTTGAGTTAAAGGTCTTTGTAAGATAATTGATTTAGCACTATATTATTGACACATCCACGAGGTCTAATATCGTTATGCATCACCAAACCTTTCATTTGGTTATTTGTCAATAGAATAATTATTGAATAGTTGATCTGAATGCTTTGATGGGAGGGTTCTGGACCTTAATCTTATGACATAAGCAACAACAAGTAAGCCTTATTTGAAACTTCTGAAGTCTGAGTAAGCCTTTCTTATGGAAGAGTAAGGTGAAGATAATCGGTCTAGTACGCTAAGAATTGCACAATTACGTTTGGTAAGCATAGGTACCAAGAAAAATTTTAGGTTCTTGTTTGCATTTTTTCCTAAAATATTTTTGTTACTAGAAGTCGTATTTTGATACGACGGACCGGTGTTTTAAAAAGCTTGCGCCTAGCCTATCTAGGCTTAGGTGGTACCGAGGCTGACTAGGCTCTGTCCATCTAGGTCCTTGTAACGTCCCTGGTTTCACATATGGCTGCAGTCTAAGGTGAATCTAAAGATGTCAAACTTGCTATGCACCCACTCTGTGCAACAAGTTTCACCAAATCACAGTAATATCTCTAGTGGAATCAAAAATATAGTGCAGGTACAAACAGGTAAAAGAAGGAAATAACTGCAACTGACATGATATAAGTAAGAATGTCTCATAAATAAATCATGTCTCAATAAATAAGTCTGAAATACATCTGTCATCATGAAATGAATGTATCACAACATGGATCAACTAAGAATGTACCAATGCTCATAGCCTCTACAAAATAAAACAAAATAAAGAGAAAACTCTAATAACTAATCATAAAGTCTGTCTACTGTTGAGTCTCATCTACTAGCTCATAAGACGACAACTAGCAAAAGCTCCGTCATCATGCGACTCTCCGATGGTCTGAACTGCCTGAAAAGAAAATAAAAAATAAAAAAACAACAAGAGAAAACGTTAGAGCGCTAAAGCAAGATCACCTCCATCCGCCCCCAGGGAAAGGGCTACTATATGCAATGGAGACTCTATCTATCAACATAGTCTATCTAAATTATTTTTCCCGTATCTAATAGAATTTATATTTAGACATCTACAATACGAGACGTAGTACGTCGAGCGAAGTAATCCAAATAAGAAAATCCTCATATATATACCATATGTCTCAAATAGTAGATAACTAAGTATAAATCCCAAACTAGAACCGAAAGTAAGAAATACAGGAAAGTAAAACCTCATAAACAACGTCAGCATAAGTATCTCATGCACTCGCATAACATAATCTTTCGGTCATTAATTATCTCAACAATGAGTCATGTCTCATTTGGCGTTTGCCAAACACTCGGCTATCAAGTTATAAAAGTCATCATTTTTCTGAAATTCTCATCTAATAGTACATTCGTGCATGACACTAATAACCATTTCAAATTCTGCGTATAACTATGCGGAAACAAAGATATATGTTCCTTTACCTCTGCACACACGTGCGGATACAACAATATAGGTACATCGACCTCTGCGCACACTCGTACAGATACAACAAACATAGGTACACCGAGCTCTGCGCACACTTGTGTGGATACAACAACACATGTACATCGACCTCTGCGCACACTCATGCGGATACAACAACGTAGGTTCACAAACCTCCGCGCACACTCGAGTGCGGATACCATAATATATGTTTACTAATCTCTACGCACACTCTAGTGCGGATACCATAATATATGTTTATTAACCTCTGCGCACTCTAGTGCGGATACAACGTTGTAGGAAATGTGTATTCGAAATAATACTTAATTAAAATCCCTCACTAGGAAGATACCACATGTATTACAATACTATTCATTTATGATTATGTCTATAACATGTAACTCAAGCCCATAGTTGCAATTCAAAACAGAACGAAACATAATACAGAAAATCAACCTTAGTAGTCGACTACTAAGCTTAATAGTCGACTACACTGAGTCCACCAGACTCTGTTATACTCGACTCAGAAATTTGTAGTCGACTAATAAGAACATTAGTCGACTACTCTGTATTGACTCAATCTCTATTAAGTCATTTCAGACTTTAGTAGTCGACTACTTCACTTAGTAGTCGACTACTAAGTCAAAACCTGCACAGAAACATGCACCAACAACACATTTGCAAACGTTGTGCGATTTTCATACTTTAACACATTATAAAAACTAGTAAATACGAAACAAAAGAATCATCACCATGATTATTTAACCCTTGATTTGACCAACTTAATTTAGTCCCCTTATTTGAACCAATATTTGACACAAACCCTAATTATCGATTAGGTTAACATGAAACATGCTTGCATATTAGTCTAGAACTGATATAATTTCGTAAACCCTAATTATCGATTAGGTTAACATGAAACATGCTTGCATATTAGTCTAGAACTGATATAATTTCGTTTAATCATGATTTCAGAACCAAACATCCGAAACATGCTTGCATATTAGTCTAGAACTGATATAATTTCGTTTAATCATGATTTCAGAACCAAACATCCCAGATCCAAGGTCTAAATTATCTTGATCTATATGTAATCCCCTTTATAACAAAATTTTAGGGTTTTAAGCATGATTTAAAGCATAGATGACAAGATATAAATGAAGATCTACATAACCTAGTGATCATAATCATGTTTTTGTTAATACCAGCAAGTAAAACTCGTAGGTCCAACATCAGATTAAGATTTGCATCACAAATCTACCTTTTATCATGTTAAACAGAAAATCTATGCATTAAAACAACCTTATTACTTCATGAACACATGATTAACACTATGGGTAGGGTTTGGATGCAGGAGATCTTGCCCCTATCACTGTGTTGATCTCCTGAACTTTGTACCAACTCCTCACTTCAGCTACGACCCTCGATCTCGCCTTTCGCTCAAAGTCGCTTCTCAAAAAGCCTCGAGGAAAAACACAAATTCGGATCTAGGGTTTAAGGGGAAAGAGGTGGCTGAAAACTGATGTGAAAAGCTCAGGAATTATGTTTAAAACACGTTTATATAGTTGGGTTATCAACCGGGTTCGAACACAACGTAAATCCAACCCGAAAACTAAAACCGGGCACGTTTAGGAATCCGTGATACTCGACTACTCTCCTTAGTAGTCGATTACACTGTAACTCACAGAAACTGCATATTGCTTACGTGCTCTTAGTAGTCGACTACTAAGGGTATTAGTCGACTACTAAAAATCTGATTACACTGATTTATACTATTCTCTTATATGTATACATCGAATTGTTCTCTAATCAATTCTTGACATACTTAAAAAGATTAAATATGCTATTTATCACTGCATAACATATTAAATATTATTTATCACATAGTGTTTAAATTTGTGGGGTTTTACAGTCTTGACACCGCCTAGTGGAGCGGAGACTACTTACATGGACCGTACCACTAGATCTTGGTCGTAATTTAATTTCCTCTGTTGCTGCCGCTATGTCCTCTAACCTCGTCTATACTCTAGCCTCCTCCACTGACTATAAACACCTTCCACTCATTCGACTTTTAGCAAAACCTTCTTTGCCACCACTTAATAAAAACGAAATCCTTCTAGGCCTAGCGCCTAGGCACTATACGTCAGTTTCACACTGTTAGAAGAAGAGCGTATTAGTTTAGTCCCACATTGCTTGTGAGACTAAATTGTAACTAATCCATCTCCATAAATAAAGTATATAGTGAGGGGATAACTCTCCAATAATCTCTTTTTTCTCCAAACTTTAATATGTTATTAGAGCCTCCTAAACCCTAAACCCTAACCCTAATTCCTGCCGTCACTTGTTCTAACCCTAACCCAAATTCCTAAACTCTAGCCGCCGCCTCTCCTCTCTCTTGTAACCCTCTCTGCCTCCTCTCCTCTCTCTGCCGCCTCCTCTCTTTCGAAATCTTAGCTACCAAAGATCAAATTCGTTGCTGCCTGCTTCGTTCGTCACCGCCGCCACTTGCTTTGTTCGTTGCCACTTGCTTTCATGACAACTTGGATATCTTACATTGCTCGGTGTTTTCTCGAGTTCAAATTTGGATTTGATCTTGAGAAGAGTGTTTATCTTACCTTGCTAAGATATTCACTTCAGTTCTTGTTTCTATAATCGAAACATCAACGTCAAACTTCCTTCACGTTCGACTCGAATTGTTGAATCCGTGGTCCACGGAGGAAACTTCAGATCCATATCTACTTCATCGATCCGATCTTCATTGACAACTCCCGCTCGCCATCGATTATCACCGTTGTCATGTTCCTTTGTTTTCAGATCTGACTTAGATCCGCGAACTGTTCTAAAAAAATTTATTATTTCGGGTTTTTGAATTCTAACATTCGGGTTTCATGTTAACCTTCGGACTCTTGCATTTTAACATTCGGGTTCTTGTATGATAACCTTCGGGTTCTTGCATTGTTAACCTTTGGGTTTTTGGACCTGTTCAATTTGTGGAGAGTATCGTCTTGATCTCTACTCGTCTATTTCATGACGACCGGATCTGAGGAACTCAAAAATTTTGAGTTAACAGTCTAGACGAAAGTTTCAGAGATATTTTCTGGTAAAATCACTAAACAAAAACTTGATGAAATTAACTATTTTCAGTGAAAGCGTGTTATTGAAATCTACGTGGCAGGCCGAGAAAAAAATAATTATTTGTTGACGGACCCTCCTACTCTGACACAGGAGTCTTGGACATTAGATGAGTGTCCTCTTACATCAGATTCTTAATACTATGGAGCCTAAACTTCAGGATTTAGTTCTTCGTTCTATGACAGTGAAGAAACTTTGGTGTTTCTTACAAGATCTCTATGGGGGTAACAGTAATATTAATCGAGCATATGAAGTTATTCGAGAGCTGTTTCGTAAGAAACAAGATGGTAAACCCATGGATGATCATTATGATGAGT